AGGGGCAAAAAAAAAAAAAAAAGAAAAGAAAATTATGAATCAGTGGTATTTCTACAAAATATTTACAAATTCATGGAAAATTTATAACTTTAATTACTAAAATTGATAAACTTTTCAACTGATTTTCTATAAAATATTTACGAATTCATGGAAAATTTATAACTTTAATTACTAAAATTGATAAACTTTTCAACTGATTTGTATTTTTTAAAAAGAAATGTGATTTTGTTTTAATTTTATAAATATTCAATTAATTTGATTTTTTTCATAAATGATTTAATCGACAAACCTACAATATGAACGATTCAGATCAACAACATGAGCTTGGGGCAAGACTCATGAGCCCTTACACCACCGTGTTGTACCTATAAGACACTACATCGCCCCTTGCCAATTTGATATGGAAGCTCTCCATCTTATATGTCAATCTATTATTATATTATTTTTAAAATTTAAACTCTTTTGAGGCCAGCCAATCATCTCCTAGGACAACTACATTAGATGCTTTAACTGAAGACAAAAGATATGTATATATATATAAGTCTTCATATCAAAAGTTGTATGAAGAAGTGATGTCAATAGTCACATCAACTTTTGGCATACAAGGTAGAGTTAATAGTTGATGTCAAAGCCTTCGTTTGATAATGACTTTTTTAGTTAACTTTTTGATTTTTTTAACTTTTTTAGTTTGGAACTTTTTTGTTCATTTGGCATCCTTGAATGGCTTTTTTGGCTTTTTAGCTTTGGAATGGTGAATTTTTTTTTGGTCTTTTTGTGATTTTGGTCTTTTTGTGATTTTTGTGATTTTTTTGACTTTTTTTTATTCTTTTGTGATTATTTAGCCAAAAGTGAAAACCAAACCTCACCAAAATATGACTATTATCAAATTTGAAATGTCAAGTGAAGGTTCCCTGAGACCATTAATATGGTTAATACATATCAACAAAGATCAAGTCAAACAAAATTATTTAGAGTGTGTCTGTGAATTGATTTTTATAGTGATTTTTAAAATTTTTATAGTAAAATAAATTTTTTTAATTTTTTTTTTATTTTAATAATGTTAGTGGCTTTTTAACTATTTTAACTCATCTCCAACCTACTGGGATTATGCCAACCATCTTACTTGGTTAGTAGTGAGTAGGGTGTTATCAAGATAGGCATTATTCTTGGGAGTGTGATTCTTAGGAGAGTTGGAATCTTACTAGGTTTGTGCCAGGCAGAATCTATAAAAGCTCATGACAAGACCTATGCACAAGTATGACAATTCTTACTCTAAAATACATAGAGCTTATGTTCTATTGTCTACTTGCTGACTTAGACATTAGAGGGGTTTCTGACACACACCCACCTGCTAGCTCACGTGTAACGCCCCAAAATAGATTCCATAAACCCATCTAAGATCATATATAAATAACAATATGAAACAGAGTATCACGTTCTTCCATTTCAAGAGAGTCAATAGTACAAAAAAGTTTAACACACGCGATTATACATTCATAAGCTCTACTCTGAATCTATAGCATGTGGTTACCAGTTCAATGACATGAATAAGAGACCAACAAAATAAATGCCCTATAAGCTTACATCTTTCTAACACCATGCTTGGTTACAATAAAAATAGATATAAATCCAATACATGTAAAGCCCTTGGTTTAAATCCAAACAACAACATAGTACACAAAAGAGAAGCCTTCAGCTCTGATTCCTCCCAAGCTATTGCCTTGGCGGAGGCATATCACCAACACCTGAAAATGTTTTCCCATACAGGGTAAGCCAAAGCCTAGTAGAAATAATCTAACACAATATATGAATCTTAACAAAGATATAAGTGTGATAAAATCATTTATAACTCTTTTGCAAAATCATATTATGCCGAACTTATATTTCGATCCATTTTATCTCAATTCATGAGCCACTTTCATTTTATTCAGGAAACTAAACTGAGGATACAACTCAGTGAGTCTCTAACCAATATAGCCATCATATAATCACTTTTATTTTCCATTTTACAGATATTTTGTCTGCAGGAATTGACACCCATGTATACTCATGGTTTTCGAGACTTTCACCCTAGACACTCTGGCTAATTTAATTTAATGGAGTACATCCATTTATTCTCCCAAACATGGAGTACATCCCCTTTCTTCTCCCAAACATCATACATTTACAATGTATTAAAGATGTGACAACACATAATGCAAATGGATGAGAAAATAGTTTCAATTCATCTAGTTCTTATGCAATTTCTACAACAATTATAGCTATCCTCTATCGATAGTCTAAAACAGATATTTCTAAACCGATATACAATCTCCAAGACAGATAAATTATCCAAATTCCGTAGGTGAGTGATAATACATATCCAATACCACCATTTATATAAACATCCATTCAATTTCACCTTTCTAATGCCAATGCCATTCATTTATACAAAATAAATATTTGAGACATTTTAGGGGAAACTACATTTCCTTCCCAAACACAACCCAAGTACCAAAATCAACAATTTTATTACACACAACCTCATATACACTCTCATAACCATTTTAGATACATCCATTTGCAAACCCTCTTTTGATTTTAAACCAAAACCCTAGGTTTGTTCAAAATCCTCCAAAATCTCAATATTGTTTATGAAAAATAAATAACTAAGCTAAAAATCATAAAAGAGTGTAGAAAATCCCTACCTTAAGCTTAGAAGACCAAAGGAAGAAATTGAGAGACTTCAAAGATGCCAAAGCTTAACTTTATTCGGATCAAATGAGAGCCCTCGGGGTGCACTATCTTTTTATCAAAGAGAGTAGGGAATAGAGATCCTTGGATCTAAGTGTATTTGTAGAGAGAAGTTGGGTTTTAGATAGAGAGAGAGAGAGGGTCGATCTAGGGTTTTGAGAGAAAAGGTATGAAAAAGTGATATAAAAAGGTGTTTCTGCAAACTGAAATATGCACAGCTCGCTAGAGTGCAAGAGTTGTCACTCGAGTGATCAGACCCAATAAGTTGTTCCGCTCGAGCATAAGAAGCTTCGCTCAGAATGCACACTCCGAAAAGTTTTACAGACAGATGACCGTCGCTCGAGTGCAAGAAGTCTTGCTCCAGCGGGGAACACTACCTTCCCAGTATCTCTGTAGGCCTGAAAGAGTACTGGGAGCTCACAAAGCTCGCTCGAGTGTAAGAAGTTTCGCTCGAGCGAAGAGGCTGTATGTAGATTAGTTACTGGAACATGCCTTATTATGCCATGTTTCTGGCATGTCTGACAACCCTTCGCATACTTTATCCAATCCTTAAAGATGGTTGGCCTATAATATGACCTTTGAAGCAACCACCTCATCTTCACACCAGGTTAATGGGCACCACAAATGCCTTCATACACCTCAGCCATGGTAGTCAATGCCTCTTTTGGCCCCAAACATTCTAATAGCAATCCACATTCTCCCCTTTTGTAAAGGGCATTCCCATATATTATGAATTGCATTGATTGCAATTTAAGCCTTCTGCTAGCCTTCGAAGAAGGACCAATTAAATACTGAATGATTGGATGTCTCCAATCATGTCCTTCTACATCATTCTAGTTGACTTATACCATGATCCCCTCTTTAGCCAAAGGTGGTATTAGCTTATGATATGTTGCTTGACTTACATCTATTTAAGTGTCAACCCTTCTTCTGAAATTCAAAGCCTTCTGAGCTACATCATTGGCTTTGTGATTCATGAATCTTAGGATATAAGTCACATTTTCTATTTGAAACTGAAAAGCAAATGTAATGTAGCAACATAATATGGTAACATGCTTGCACTTTGACATTTAAAAATTCATTTTACTTGGTTGATTACCAATTGAGAATTTCTAAATTTATCAACTGCATGAGCTTGTAATCCAATAAGTATCTCAAGTCCCATTACCAAAGCTTCATACGCAGCTTGGTTGTTGGAACAAGTCATTTCATCAATTCTGAAACCATGTGTGGTTTCTACCCCTGTGATGACTTAATTACAATACCAATTCTAGCTAGACAATTGGCTTTTGATCCATCGAACCACGTTTGCTATGGCTCAACATCAATTGTGCGAAGCCCCACTATCTCTTGGCTTTCTGTTTGACATGGATGATCAGCCAAAAATTTAGCCAAAACCTGTCCTTTTACTGTCTTTTGGAAAACATATTCCAAGTGGAATTCTGACAAAGTTAGAATCCATTTGCCAAGTCTTCCCCTGAACATGGGTCTAGATAACATTTATTTAACCAAATATGTGGTTGCAATTACCAAGACAACAGTAGACAAAAGATAATATCTCAATTGCTGCAAAATACAATGCTAAACATAGCTTTTCTACATCTGAGTATTTACATTCGCAAGAATTTAAAAACATACTAAGGTAATAAACTGTTTGTTCTTTGCCTTCTTCATTGTCTTGAACTCGAAAAATTCCCAATGAATCTTTTGCTGCAGCAAGGCATAGCTTTAGAGGTCTATCCCTTCTTGGTGGCATCAATAATAAGGGTTTGGCCAAGTAGGCTTTGATCCATTCGAAAGTAGCTTGATTCTCTACTGTCCACACTAACTCTTCTTCATTTTTTAACTTCAACAAAGAAGAAAACACTTTAGTTTTTTTAGCAGTAGTAGAAATAAACCTTCGAAGGAAATTAACCTAACCATGGAATTTTTGCAATTTTTACTTACTTGACGGAGGTATGGCCTCAATGATGGCTTTGGCTTTTTTTTGATCGATCTGTGTTCCCTTCTTGTGTGCCACATACCCCCAAGAAATTCTCAGCTGATACACCAAAAGCACATTTGAGAGGATTGAGTTTCAGCTTGAACTCTCTCATTCTCTCAAAGGTTGCTGTCAAGTGAACCAGATGCTCCTCCATGGACTAAGATTTCACAACAATATCATCAATATAACATTCTAAGTATCCTTCAATGAGATCATGAAAGATACTGTTCATTGCCCCATGATATGTTGTTCTAGTATTCTTCAATCCAAATGGCATTTTAACCTATTCGAAGGTGTCAATGTTTCCAAGACACTTGAAAGCTATCTTATGAACATCCTCCTCTGCTATGCAGATCTGGTTATACCTAGAATGTCTATCCATCATAGACAAAATCTTGTGTCCTGCCGAACTCTCCACCAATAAATCAGTTATAAACATCGGATACTCATCTTTTGAAGTTACCAAACTCAAATTTCTAAAATTGATGCATACCCTCAACTCGCCATTGTTTTTAACTACAAGCACTATATTAGACAACCATTTAACATACCTGACTGTTCTGATAAAGTCTACTTTAAGGAGCCTAACAATCTCCTTTTTCGCCTTTTGAACCACTTCAGGGCTCATCCATCTTGGTTTTTGCTTATGTGGCTTGAAATTAGGCTTCACTGGGAGCTTATATTCCACTAATGACCTGTCCAATCCAGACAACTCATTATAAGACCAAGAAAAATAACCTTTATATTATTTCAGGACAACCAACATCTGGTTCCTGTCAATAGGATCCAACCAAGCATTGATGTAAGTGGGTTGTTGTACTGACCCTTCGCCTAGGTTAACTTCTTTCAAGGGATCTTGCACTTGAACATTTACTAATGCTCCCCCTTGGACTTCTTCTACCTTCGAAGCAACCTTTCATTTCGTTCTGCTTCTATCTTTTTTAGTTCAATATCCTTACTTTCTTCTTCATAGGCAAAATCTGTTCGTAGAGCCTCTTCCTCCTATATTCCTAGACTTTAGTTTCAATGTCCAATGCACAATATTTGCAGAGAGCCAAAGGTTTGGCCTCTTGTTGCCCCTAACTACAACCAATCACCATGGCCTCTTTTCTTTCTTCCTGCACCTCCTGAACTATTGTTTTTATGTCCAACGTCAAAAATTTGATTAAAGCCAAAGGTCTGGCTTATTGACCTTGATCTTTTTGTCTATAACCAGGCATCATTGGCATCTTTGATGATGAACTCCTCATCAACACTCTCCTATACTAGATGCTTTAGGTGTGCTACTTCTTCATCATCTATCACTTCGGCTGTTACATTAGACTTCCTCAGTACACTAAGTGGCACTACCCCTTCAGTGTACAACTTGGCTTCTGTAAAATCTACACAGGCAAAAAAAGACTTTGGATCTGTATCAATCTCCCCTGTTTCTCCATTGCCCATTGGTATCATTATCTTTTAATGCAAAGAAGAAGGCACACATTTGTTTGTGTGTATCCAATCTCTGCCAAGCAAAGTATTATATTTGGCATTACTATTTATGACAAAAAATGCTGTCATGCAGTCTCTGGTTCCCAAACTTAGGTTGATAGGCAGAATGCCTTGAGCCATCTGCTTGTCTCCAGCAAAACTAGTAATGGTAGTGCTTGTTGGGATCAACTTGGGATTTCTTTTCCCCAACTTTTTCAAGGAAGACCTTGGAAGCAGGTTTACTGCTGCCCCCTTGTCTACCAATACTCTACCCATTTCTATTCCATCGAAATAAGCCTTAATGTACAGAGGCTTAACATGTTGGGTCATGAATACTGTAGGGTATTCGAAGGGGTATGAGAGGTTAATGGTTACCTTTTCACTTTCTTCATCAGTTTCCATGGGCCTGGCCACCTCAGATTAATCTTGGATCATACTGGTTTGTGAATCCTCACTGGAAACTAGTATGGGATCACCTTCCTGGCCTTCCTGATTCTCCTCCTCAGCCTAAAACTCCTGAGGCAGCACATAAATCATATTAACCGGCATTGGAGGGAATGGGCCAAATTGTATTACTGGCTATGTCTGCTCTGCTTCCATATTGGTTTGTTCTGATGCTTGGGAAGTATCCTCCATACTGCACTCTGGTACCTCAGTGTTGGCAGGTACCTTCGAAGCAGTTTATTGGTGATCTAGCTCTATTGGCTTTTCAACCATGAAAGACTGTTCAGCCATAAAGGATTCGAACATTTCCTCTTCAGCCAATGGCTTTTCTTGGCCTGGTTCAACTTCTTCATCTGTCTTATCATCACTTTCCATCAAGGCCTTTTCGAGGCCTGCTAGGTTGGATTTCTCTTTGGCTCTTAGTTCAGCATGAACTTTGGCCATTTGTTCTCAACTGGTACTTCTTTTGATCTTAGGATTAGGCCTTGAACCTTCTTCCTCTTTTATCTGGCCTTTTGATTGGGCCAATGAAGTACTTTCTTCATTCTCATTCAGATCTCTTTGGTGCTGGGTGTACCTTTGTTGGATCTTCCTTCTCTGAGACCTAGAGATTACAGGAACCATATCTGGCTCTCTTGTCTTTGGATTTTTTAGTAATACTCAGTTATTTGGGGCTAGCAAAGGGGGCTTGATCATCCTTTCCCTTTCTCCCAAAACTCTGGGCATCTCTTTAGGTTTGTTTTGTATGACAAACCAATCAGGTGCCCCTGGCACCCATGTACCTACTGCTTCGGTTGTTCGACTTACTAGTCTGGTCTTTGAAGCTATCTTCGAAGTAGTCTTGGAAGGCTAATCATTGGCTCAGGTGCCTTGTTTCAAGCCAAATTCAAGCTTTTTTTCAGGCTAGCTAACTGTCTTGTAGTAATTATGTGGCCTAATCTCATGCAGAGGCCTCTTACCTCTTGACAGATTCCTGGTATCTAAAGGTCTAGCCAAGGCTGGTTATTGCCTAAAATTAGTTGGAAATGGCCTTCTACCATAATTGTTGGCTGGCCTACGGTCTTTTAACACATCCTTGTAGTATTGTTTCCCATCAGTTGGGAGCCCTCTCAGCCATTTATAACTCAACCTGCATTTGGGACACCTTCTCTGCATTACAGTTGCTTTTTTCACTGGAGCCATCCTTTTGACCTATTAAGCTTTGTCCATTGGCTGGTGAACCTCTTGTGCTTTTCTTGAAGGTAGCCTGGCTAGCAACATGCATCTGCACGTTGACTTCTTCCAATTCTTTCAAAGAGAAAGTCTGGAGATCCGATATGCTAACATTAACTACTGCCTCTCCAATTTCTAGAAATGGGTTAGTAACAATTCCCATGGCTTTCTCAGTTTTTGTTGAAAATTTTAGCCTCCCTTTTCGAAATTGTTCCTGGATCCTGTCTAGAAAAACAATGCAATTTTTAGTTGAGTAGGATCAAGAGTTTTGCCATTGCAGTACAATTTTCCTTTAAGTTCTTCAGAATTTGAGATCTTAACTCCCTTAGGCAACTTTAAGAAATGTGTTGCAAGCAAATGATCAAATATGTCATCTGCTTTTGTTATGTCAAAAGAATATTTCCTATGAAGGTCTTTCCTTTTGAATTGTTGATCAATTGTAGTATCTTTTTGAACTAATGTTTCACAGGTCATAGGTTTTTTTCCTATGATCTCTACTGCATCAATCTCAAAGTTAGGGTCCCTATAATAGGTCTTATAGGATGCATTGCCTCGGTCTTGTTTCTCTTCAAGTAAGGTTTCATAGCTGGACACTTTATAGGTAAGTTTCACCAGATCTCGAAACTCTATAGAATCAAACTTCTTTCGAAGCCTGAATTCTAGCCCATTTTGGGCCAATCTGACAAATTCAAGTTCAAGTAAAACGACCCTACATTTATTACGTGCTCTTTTGAATCTGGCAATGAATTGAGCAGCCTTTTCATCGGGCCTTTGGCTCAATCTTGCCAAGTCTGCCATAGAAACCTCAGGTTTTGTTTGAAAAAACTGGGCAAGAAATACTTCCTCCATTTGTTGCCAAGTTTGAATAGAACCAGGTGTAAGGTTTGTATACCAGACAAAAGCTGCCCTAGTTAGAGAATTTAGAAAAAGTCATAGTTTCATATAATCATTATTTGTAAACTTACCACACTGGCCTGTAAATCTGGCAATGTGTTCAATAATTGACTGATCTCCATTTTCATAAAAAAAAAAGGGGCAAAATTTGGTATTTTATATCCTCTTGGGTATTTATGCAGCCTATCCACCCATTTTGGGTAAGGCTTTCTATAGACAAGAGTCTGGATCCTTCGAGCCATGGGTCTACAGATTTCTCTTACTACATCTACAATGTGGTCTCTGGGTACCATGTTTGGTGCCGATTGAGCCACTATTGAGGGAGTAAACACTAGGTTTGGAGGAACCACTTCTGTTTGGGGTCCTTTTGGTCCAGGTGTAGACGTCCCCGAATGTTTCGGGAGGGAATCCCGTTTTGTTCATTGGGCTTACTATAGTTCAGAATCAATGTCACGGTCCTGTATCTAATCTCGCAGAGTGCAATGCAAGACCGATGAATCATCAAAAAGTCCAAATCCGGCAAATCGTTTTGGAAAACAGATTTTTAGAAAGAAATGCCAAACATGGACTGCTTTGCCAGATACAGAGTCGCCCCCTAAATATTTTGTTTTGGGGGAATTTAGGAAATCCTGACTCGTGCCTAAGGCCACGTGTTCGTCATCACCAAAGTTGCCTCGGCTCAGGAACTTGGGTACGATTGGGGAAGGTCATTTCATGAGCACCCCCGCTCGCTCGATCAAAGATCGGCCTCTACTAACCATGATATCGAGTTTTGAAAACATTATGTGCTCTTATTCCGATTATTAGCCTAGAATTACTATGTGATGCGCACAGCATACAAGTATAGACCGAATTACCTAAGTTGGAACAAAACATCTCATGTTGTTTTTTTAAAAGCGGTTTGCTACTCGCAAGTAGGCTAAAAATACGGATTTTGCCACCCTCAAGTGGGCTTAGAAATATGGTGATTTGCCACTCTCAAGTGGGCTTAAAACTCGCAATCAATGAATTGTTCAAATTCAAATAATCAAACCTTCACCCACAGGCATTCAGGCAGTTATATCACATAAGCACATAGCCTCATGGTAAACATGTTATCATGGCAGTCACTCACACACATGCAAGGATGCTAAAGCATAAACACTTACCGAGTACTCCGAGCCAAAGAAAGAAGCTAATTAGAAATCATGCATGAATCCTAACTATGCTAAGAATGCCTAATGCAACACATGCAAAAATGCGACTACAATAGGCTCGGCTATTCTAAGATGGCATATGAGATGCAACAATCGATACATATATTCAACTTGGAATTGAAATACAATGCAGTTAGCATGATACACCGAGCCCGGTGCATGCAACACAGATGAATGAATGCAAACATGCGAACATATAGATGCTAATTGAAACATGCCCTAAAACTAACCATCATAAGCTAGTAAATAAAAGGGAGAAAGACGTGGGGTTGGAAGACATACATCATACACACGCACACTTATTACAACATTGCCCTCCTCGGAGGGTTCGAATAAATAGTACAGAATAAACTAGCTAATCTAAGCTAATTATTACACAACCGAAATGAATAACGAATTACAGCTAATTATTACACAACATTAATTACTTAACAAATTAACTAAGTAAGCAATAAAAATAGCATGCAAATCTATATGCAATGGACTGCCTCAGCTCCGCCTTGAGTGATAAGGGATGCATGCATGCTCGAGTCGCCTTGTCGGGAAATCCATCGCGATGCCTCGATTTGCCTTTGTTTGCAACCGGTCCCAGAACACTGCACAAAACTCCAGAAGGCTGAAACTCCACCATGGGAACCTGTAGGGATACTGCCGACCAGTTTTTGTTGCTGGTTTCTGGTTTGCTGCAACAGAGAGCAAGAAAGGGGCATGGCAAAGTATTTTCAACATATGTGTGCACGACCACTCTGCCCGTCATTGCATAAGCTCTAAGGAGTGTAATCCTCGATCCTCGTGCCACCAATCACGCATCTCAATGCATGATGGCCGAGGGGTCGAATTGCACAACTCGATGTGAAATGAATGCAAACATAAGCAAGTAAAGTCAACAACTCAATCATGGATAGTCAAGAGTGTCGGCGATCAAGAATTGAGGCACGTTTCGTCACTTGGAGTACGAAATGTCCCTCGTTTCCCGTGTTTGGACTAAACCCTACTCCAAACACAATGCAATACACATGGCATGCATGAATGCAACTCTAACATGCAACCTAAACATAATGCCACTAAATGATGCAAACATACAAATGATGATATGCAAACATGCTACTAGCATACACAATGCTATGAAATAATCAATGGCATACTCAATGCACATGAAAACTATACGGCATACGCAATGCACACATGGAGACTAACAATGAAATGATTGAGGCATACACAATGCAATGGTCAATCATGCAACAACATGGACTAAATGGCATATACAATGCAAGATGGACTTAAACCAAGATAGGTGAGCCTTAGCCACACCCAAATCAGTAGCCAAACATGATGAAATTGGGCAACGAAAACACATGCAAATATGCACGAATGCAAGGGACCAAACCTAAGGCACCAAATGCAACTCTACCAAAGCATGGCAAGGGATGAAATATGGCATACAATCACACATTTTCCAGCTCTGAAATGACATGCAAGATGGTCCTGAATCATGTAAACACCTCACATAATGCATGTTAGATGGCCCGGATACCGAAACTAGTGAAGTGCATTACACTAGAGGTACACAAAGCAATGCTCAAGTGACCCAACCAGCCCCAAACAATCCCTATGCAGGTCCAAGATAGTGGAAAAATGGTCTAAAATAATGGCTCAAAATGCATAGAAATGAAGCTCATGCAATGGTCCATAAATGAGGTATTTAAGCATGACTCTCAAACACATTTAAAGAGTGGAAAACATGGGAATATGGCACAAGTATAGGCTCTGAAATGAGATGCTCAATGGCCCCAAAACATGAAAACATCTTAGTATAAGCATGCAATAGGCTTCAAAACTCAAGGCTAGACAAGGGTATTACACTACAACCATGCATAGTAAGCATCATTCGACCATGAGGCATAAAAAAAGAGCTAAGGCAGTCTAGAACATGCACAAAATCAATTTAAGGCATGGCCAAAAAGTGTTAGAATCAAAGACCAAAATAGCATGCAATACAAGTTAGTGAAGAGGGTTTACACTACAAGTATATGAAGCATTCAAGAGGTTGCTAAACCAGCAAAATTCAGAGGTAAGACATGCCAAATAAAGCCCAAAAACTTATTGAAACATGGTCAATGCATGCAAGAATGACATGCTCCTTTGATAGGCTATGAAGAGGGTTATTCTATGCATGCAAGATAGACACCCAATATGGAAAAACAAGCTCTGGATAGAGCCTATGCAGGTCCTAAAACTCACCAAAAATAGTCTGAAACAAGGCTTGGAAGCATGCAAATAAGGGCTCCTTTGTTAAGCCAAATATGCTAGAAATCAAAACGAGAGAGAGGGTCACCCCTCTCTGATTTTGGCTCTCAAAAACACATATTAACCACAAAAAATCCGTTGGATTTCAGTGGTCAAAAGGGCAAACAAAGCTCAAAACAAAGGCTTTAATGCATGGCTCAAAATAAGGCAAAATGAAGCATGCAGGGGGGTAGATGACCCCCAACAGAAAAACAACCTTAAACAAATATGTTAAGGACCTCAAAATAAGACTTTTTTCAGTTGATGACAAAGCTCAAATATGATTTCAAATATGGCTAAAAGATGAAGCAAGACAAAGCCTAAAAGAGGGAATAGGGCGTTACCTTTGTAGCTCAGCAACTCCAGAAGCTTATGGACCAAAAATGCAGCTCCTTAGGACCTCTCAAGACCCTACAAGAAGCTTAGGTTGGTGTTGGAGGTGTTAGACTAAGAGGTAGTGTGCAAAGGGGCAAGAACTTAGCACTTTGGAGCCAAAATAGAGATATAGAGAGGGAGGTATATGCGTATGCCTTAGGGAAATTCTGAACCTTCACAAAGGAGGGAGAGGCCCTCCTTTATAGCCAAGAGGGTCCAAAAATTCTCAAAGAAGCTAAAAAAACAAGCTTGAAGATCCTCCATACATGTGTATGGAGGATCCATTTTGTGCCTTCCAGCTGGCACAGCTGGCAACAACTCATAGAGACAAGACTGAGAGAGGCAGGTCGACCAGTTCAGGTGGTCGGCCGACTACTTACCCTGGTCGGCCGACCAGGTTCAAAAGGGTTAGGTCTTAAAAGCTGGTCGGCAGCCTCCAAGGGTGGTCTCCACATGAAATGCAAGCAAGTGGTATGGTGGGAGACCAGCAAATGTGGCTCAAAAACCAAGAAGACCAGCTCCCTGACAAGAAAATCGGCTGGCGGAAGAAAAGTGGTCTCCAAGGAGAAAAGGTGGTCTCCCACCCTTGTACTACCTTCCAAACAATGAAAACAATGTCCATGCCAAAAGTGAACCAAGATGGATGCAAAACGAGGGTTCGAGGGCCAAAACGCGCAGCCGGGTGCCCCGAAAACTGACTGTTAAGCATCAAAAGTGGCGTGCAACCACAAAAGTGGTCTCCCGAGCCATAGTGTCCCTCTAGAGAGAGGAAACAAGGTGTGTGTCAAAAACCGGAGCAAACGGAGAAAGTTAAGCGGTCCTGAACTGAGGCGCACGGCCGACGACTCCGAAAATCAGAAACTGGTCTCCAAACGAGAACAGTGGTCTATGACCACGAAAAGTAGCCTACGGCCACTGAGAGATGGTCTATGAGACCTCTTCCTCCCTTCGGGAAGAGAAAACAGAACCTGGGTCGCAAACCGAGGCAAAGCACAAAAGAGTCTCGAAGTCCGGAGGCAAGGCTCTCAGCCGAGACTCTATAACCTCAGAACGAGCACAATATGCGCAATCACCGAGCGCTCAATCGATGATGTCTGAGTCTTAAGGTTGGTCAAAAATGGGGTGTCTACACCAGGCAAAGGCATGTTTAGGACTGGTTGTCCCTGTTGTGCCTGGTAAGCCTGAGGATACAGCTGACCCCTTTGGGCAGGTGCCTAGCCTACATAAGGCACTGCAAAAGGAATTGCTGGAGGGGGAACAGGCATTGTTTCTCTTCCATTTGCATGAACCCCATTCAACCCCCCGGGTATAGCTTCAAACATGGAATTAGTATATGTTCTACCATTCCCTTGTGTTGACCATATTCCACCAATATGCATGACTTCGCAGGTAGGTATAGACATGTTTTGGCCTGTTTGCATTCTAGGAAGGGGCTCATACCATGACTAGGGCACTGGTATTGGTCTTTCAGGTGTTTGATTACTGGTCTGACCATTATTTTGTGTAGGTTGTCTATTTCGAGCCAATTGTTGCTGAAGTAGATTTATATTTTCTTCAGTTTGTCTAATGATGGGTGGTTGATATGTATGCATTCGATCCAAAAAAGACACTGCCCACCTCTTCATTATATACATCAACTGTTGTCCCATAACATCCACCAAACTTCCACATTAATGTGTGGATGAGACAGTCGAAGGGCCAGCTTTTTGGCCTTATCCAATATTCTGGACCTGGGTTGTTTACCTTGAAGTAATGGTTTCTTCAACCAACTGTGGAGGACTATTTGAAGCAGGCACATTCTCAGGATGTGGCTCAACATTTTCCTCTATATTAGTTCTTTCTACCCTTTTTTCGAGGTGTTCATTTTCTTCTCTTACTCGTTGTCTAGCCATTTTCCAGGTCCTATTCGGCGTGCCAAAAAATATATATTGGTTTTTTTTGGCTTTCGAAGGTTAATAATTTAATTTTAAGCGTGCCAACTAGGATCAATAAGTTCTTATTGAAAGTTTAATTGCCAACCAATTATCAGACGATTGTGTTGAAGTTCTTTCAGCCTCAATGAAGAGGACTTTTACTGGTGGCTTTTGCTTAGGAGAAAGTTAAAGATATTGAAGATAACAATAAACTAAATTTCATTAAACGATATGAACTTACAATGATACCTTCGCACAACCTCGAAGGTTTTTACAGCAACAGACTACTTGGAACTACTCCTAAGAATTAAAGTGCAATACAGGAATTGAAGAACACAAAATGTAAAAACGAGAAAGAAAACATAAGGTAAATAACTGGTTTTCTGGATCTGAGTCTGAGCTTCTTCTGTTGGCCTTCTCTTCTATTTATACTCTCTGACGGTAACCATCGAAGTGGGCTTCTAACCGTCGAAATATCTTTCCACGATCATTGGTCATGGCCTTGATTAGTTTGCTCCCACTACGTCATTCTTAGAGTTGGGCTTCCCTCTTGAATTTGAATTTGAATTGTAAATAACCATTGGGCCACGTCATCTTGCGCCCTCTAATTGCTTTAATGCTATGCAGATCTATTGTTACCAATATGAACTGCCACGTTTTTATTGTTAACTGGAGACTTGCGTTAACTCCCTAAATTATCCTTTACGAGCCACGTGTTAAGCTGTGATTGACTGATACAAAATATATAGCCAACAAGAGTGTAACTATTAGTTCCAGAACACCGCGTAGATCGCCTATGTGATAATTTAAACCAATTATATAGTAAAAAAATTTACAAGTAGGACTGCTAACTCATTTTTATTAGGTAATTGAGAGACAAATAATGATATACTTAGTTTGTATTACAATTTTTTATTTGACATAAGTACAAAATAAACAATAAATATAATATTTCCTAAGTATTTAATAACTTTCTACTCTGCAACGTTACAAGGTAAGTTTATTGGAAAAGGGTTCGTATTTATAATGTTATTAATACATTTACAAGTTTTGTGTGAATTGGACATAATGAGTCTAAGATTGTATTTGATTCATGAATTTCAAAAGGAAAAAAAAAAAAAAGTAAATAAAATAGAATCACATTTTACAGATTTAAAAAAAAAAAAATTCTATCCAAATTTATGATCCAACCAAAACCTACCTTTGTAAATTTGTTGGTAAGATTGTCAATCTAAGGCACCAGTATGATATCTCTATGCATCTTGAATAAATAAATAAATAACTCAGAGACTGAATATAGATCAATCTAAAGTCAATTTTGCCACAAAAATTAAACTTAAAAAAAGAAAAAGAAAAAAAAGAAAACTGACTTGTGAACTGCAACAATCCCCCAATTTGGCATTTTCATAACAGAACAAATTACACAAAAACAAATACAAGGACATTTAAGCCTATGAACCTTTTTCTCATACAAGAAATACCTCTAAAATGCGTTGGGTAGCGATAAATATAAAAAAGACTAGAAAGAACAATATAAATATTGTTTTAAGTAAACTGTAGAAATTTTGAGAAGAGAAAAAAAAAAGAAGAAGAAGAAGAAGCCTCAAAAACGGTTTGTAGTAATGTATGCATTATATGTTCATTTCATCATTCTAAATTTACATCATAAAGATCCAGAAGAAGCTTGCTAGATGAAGAATGGTCCCGAACCTCATTAATACTTGGGATAGAAACCAAGGAATCAATCCATGGCCCGTCCATTGATGTGCTCCTCTGCACTTGACTGTCTACAGAGAACGTAGAGACGTGTGTCTGGCTGTCCTGCGTTAGCCTCTCAAAGGCTTTAAACGTCATGTCCTCATTCAGTGAATTGCGCTTGATCACAGGTGCTTGTATGGGACTTTGGCCTTCGAGCATACTCACCACGGAAGACATGGATGGCCTAAGGGAGGGAGATATGTTGGTGCACAAGAGAGCGACATTTAACATATTCGTTGCCTCTTGTTTAGGGTAGTCTGGACCGAGATTGGAATCCACAAGTGACAAAAGATTTCCCTGCTCTTGTAGGACATAGGCCTTCAATCGTATGTAGAAACAGAAGACTAACTTTAGTTATCTCACATAAAATAAAACTAAGCAATTTTAAAGCATTAGCATAGGAAAATTATATAGATAGAAGGTGTTTTCTATCAAGAAGCCACATGAGTCGAGTACATTGCAAAGATTTGAATGCATTACCTCCTACATCTAAAATTAGTTTCATAATGCATTTGAAATGCTATCATTAATGAAAGATCAATATATTATGCCCATTAGAGATATAAGGTTGCAACTTCAATTTTTCCACTGAATTTAGTTTTAACGTTGGATTTATTTATGGGAAAAGTGACAGAAATGTTACGTTTCCAAGTTTTTCTAAGTGCACTCTAAGTCACATATAACTGAGAGGAGGACCAACATGGAACATTTGCATGTGTAAAACCAAAAGATTGCCAAGCAAAGAAAAATGATAAAAAGCATAATTTACCCAATCAAGAAGGTAAACAAACTCCTCCCTTGGCCTGTAATTTGTGTTGCCTTTTCCAGTGACAATCTCTAGTGCAACAATTCCAAAGCTGTAAACATCTGCTTTATCTGTTAAATAACCCCTCATTGCATATTCAGGAACCATATATCCTCTGAAGAAATGGAAAAGGAAAAAAAAAATCAGAAAAGTTGCAGATCAAAACAGCAAATTGTAAATCACTTTTATTCAAGCAGAATAGATAGTAATCTAATTATGAATGACAATCAATTAATCAACCTATGATCTCTTCCATCTAGTTTTGATAGTCCATTCTTGATGACCCACAGTTGGAAAGGAGTTCGGTTCACCACAAATTTTTATCTTACATAAAAGGGTGTACTTTAGCTAGTTTTCAGAATTGCAGTTTGAAAGAAAAACCAGTCAAAGCTGCTTATCTACCACCCGGCAGCAACTAACAAACCAGTGCAGATCTACACCTCCAATGATGGGAGTGTCAGATGTAAAAAAAAACAACAACAACAACAACTTAAGAAATAAGGTCACTCATCATTCCAAAAAGAGAGAGAAACAAAAATAAAAATGCAAAATTCTTACAGCCCAAAATTTCAGACTACCAATACAATATCAGTTATGCAAATCCAAGGAGGGCTTAGTATCCATTGCATCTTTGGGAAAAGGATAGTAATGGTTAAACCAAATTATAAATTAACTAATTTCTAGTAAAATACATATGTATATTAATCTGACATATACCCCTTTGAAGTGAAGAATTAACTACATTTGTGTTCAACACCCGTTGCTCTTACTATATAACGAAAACTAACATTTCAAAAAGGGTGGAGAAAAACATACATTGTTCCAGCAATTCGTGTGCTGATATGGGTGTTCTCCTCTTCATCAAGTTTGGCCAAACCAAAGTCAGATATCTTTGCATTCAGATCCTTATCAAGCAGCACATTGGTGGCCTTAATGTCTCTGTGAACAATTTTCAACCTTGATTCCTCATGAAGATAAGCTAGCCCCCTTGCTATCCCCACACATATCCTTTTTCTTGTTGGCCCGTCCAGTTTTAGGCAGTGCTCCTCACGACCTAAAAATATGAGAGGGAGAGAGAGAGAGGTATATCAGTATAATCATTCTTAAGATATATAGAACGGTTTACAAAGATGATAATGAAGCAATTACCAAAGAGTGCACGGGCAAGACTATTGTTTTCCATGTACTTATATATTAGCAACAACTGGTTTCCTTCAATACAACAGCCGTAGAGCCTGACAAGATATGGGTGTTGTAAGGCAGATATCATGCCTATCTCATTGACAAATTCACGATTTCCTAGCTTTGATTTAGCGGAGAGCTGCTTAACAGCGATAACAGCACCATCTGACAATACTCCCTAAGATCAAGCAGCATGAATGTCAGAATAGATAGGAACATATAAAAAAAAAAATTTCCTCTGCATTGCTGCCTTAAAAGGATAGTTGCCCTAAATGTTGCTTGACATTGTCAGGTTTGTAACCAAAGGCCAAAAATTAATTACTTGCACAAAAAATACCTTGTAAACTGGCCCAAATCCTCCTTCACCAATTTTGTTCGCAGGGTCAAAGTTACTGGTTGCAGCTTTGATTTGTCTCAAGGAAAAATAACCTGTTTGCACATCAAGTGCTCGAAGTTCTATAACAAGGACAGGGAATAGAAATTCCCAGCAAGATATTAGAAAACTATAGTAAACCAACAACACAGCTAAAGAAAAGTAATTCAATTTTCTCAACGTATCTTAAGGTTGCAATGCTATATGAAATATGACATGACTGATTTTAGAGCCATCTGATCTCACCATTCCATTTTGTATTAGTAGCCACCTGCCTCATGTGAGTTCAATTACAGAGGTTGAACTGTTTTTCTATCACAATCTACATAGATCAAACTCTGCATGCTAATGAATCTTTTATGGATGGAAAATTTCCGCCGAAGGCAGCATTTATTTCATTTCTAATCAACATGAAATTATCTATAGGCCAATTTATACTCATTTAGGAGCAGTAACCTAAGTTTTGTGACACTCATAAACAGACCTGTCCAAGCTTTACATGAACAGACATGCTTAAATGTTTCAAATTTCCCAATTTGCATTAATTTTGTGTGAAGATGCCCAAACATCTATCCCTCTCATCAAAATGAAGACTAGATTGTGTACTGTACAGGAAGACTATTATCTGATTTTTCCAAGATATTTTACCGATGCCATGTCCCATGAAAAGCTCAAACATCTATCTCATTTTCAAACTGGTGAACCGAACATGCATTAGCAATCAGATAGCAACAAGAGAAAATTTTCATATGCAGGAATGTCAGATCTCACCTTTATCTTCAAGGTCTTTCCCACCAAGGTAACCCTTCATTCGGAGTACAACTAGGATCAACACAAGGAGCACACATGAAGCAATCACAATGCCAGCAATAGCTCCAGCAGATAGTCCAGTATGAAGTTTATAGCCTACATGAAAGGCAACGATTAGTCACATGACAGGGTAGAAGCAAGAAAGAGTAACCCACAATAGAAGATGTACTTGGCGTCACTGAAATAGCAGATATAAGAGGTCCATATGTTCCCTGGTTGGGAATTGTTGTAGTTCCTTTCCCTGACCAGTATAGGTGAATCTCCAGAGTGCTACCATTAACGTAAACATCAACTTCCTTAGTGATGTTCTTGCCAACACCTTCAGCTTCCTCCATAATATCAAAGTCCTTCCAACGTAGTTCCCCCTGGGAAAGGAGTGAAATTATCACTTGTACCAAAGAAGGTAAGATAATTTATCAGAGGCTCAAAAATCGGAAGTGCTGAAAAGAAAATAAAGAAACTGATGTTCATACAAAGTCACTAAATAGTAAATAAGTTATGCATGAAGTCTACTAGCAGGCTGGCATTTTACTTGGATTGATATATCGAAGATGCGCCTCCCAAGGCTGCTAAATTTCTGACCATCAGAGAACATTATTTCAGCAAAATGGAGGCGCACGTTATACCAGCCCTTGCGCAAGCAAAGCCCATAATACTTCAATGAAATAGGGGCAAGGCGGGCTGTACTGTACAATTCACCACCAGTCAAATTCAAAGAGAACTTGTTGTCTGCTATCAAAGATGTATTACTATTGTTGCCAATCAAAGACCCTGTGCTGCTATAAGCCCATTTATCTGAAGAAGAGAAAAAGTATGATTCACCCTGTGGGTTTTTGTCCACTTCATATTCATGTCCCTCAAAGGATGTTTGATCTCCTCCGCAGTTGATGAACAGCTCATGGTCTGCGCATAACACAAAAATCACGATACAAGATACTTTGACAAAGATGTTTAGAGTTAAAAGTTTACCACTACATCATTAATAGCAGAGCTTGGCAGGCTTAATACTTACATTTGGGTTTTGTTGAGCAAGGAAAGCCCTTCTGCAAGCACCAATGAACTCTACAAAAAGAATTTAGGTTCAGTAACTGCGAAATTTTCATTCTGCTGATGTTTAACTAAGTAGAATAAAAATACACCTCAGTAATGTAAGGAACTTACGAGTCGTTGTTTGTAGGTGGAAGAATGAAAACTAAATTCCTGTTGACCAACATAAAAGGGTTGATTATTTGTAGGTGAGATGTAATATTGTAAATGATTGTAGAACTAATAACCGAAAAAAAAAAAGCTTACACAGGTGATGACGGGCAAAAAAATTGATCTGTTGATGCCAACTGTGTAAGGTTGTTGTAAGATATATCACTGCAATAGGAATTGTCATGACATTTGTGATGAAGTTCTGAGTGATCTAACTCAACCTTATTACGTTTCGAGAATTTAAGTACGGTAAATGCATGTGTGATTTGTGGCCTAAGAAAAATAAACAACAGGTTTGGAAAAATACTGACATTGTATTCCTGCTTTTGAGAATCCGATCAGGTACTTCTCCAGTTAGTGAGTTGTTGGTTAAAAACCTACATCCATAGTCAATATATTATGTCTCGAATTGAATAGAAAGCAATTATGATACAAACAACATGCTTGAGAAATAAGTAGAAGAAAGAGGTACAGAGTCTGTAAAGGTTTGGACATACAACTAGTCCAAAATTAGTTACATGAATCTTATACGCGTATCCAACCTCAAAAATGCTTCCGGAATTCCACCAGTCAACATGTTAAAGCTCAGGTCTCTGCAAGTAAGAAGCACAAGTTGCCTACATGATATAAAATTACCAGCCAGAAAGGGGAAATTGATGTGATCTAATCTACTCCACTTTGTTCCCCTAGACAAACTCAAACCTACCGTAGATAGAAACTTTTTAAAAAGTGAAGGAATGAGAACAAAATATACATACTAATTAATTTGTTTCGCAAAATCCTAAGAATGATTTCTTTATTCACATCTGGAGGTTAAAGGTATAGATGAATAACAGTAAACATTCAACATAAATGAATCTTAAAATGTTTGTTTCAGCTCAAATTTTCAAGTTTATATATATATATATATATATATTTATAACTATCATAACAAACAAGACACCAAAACATTGTACAAATTTTTTGCTTTAGTGAGTATTATCCTTAACTAAAATGACAACAAATAATATAACATGTCAACTGAAATAACTTGTCCAACCTCTTACTTCCAGATTACAAGCATAAATTTGTCATTTCTATATTAGATATATCAAGTCAGCATGCAATTGCGTATATAAAATAAATTTTTTTAAAAAATTGCATCTCTGCAAGAATAACAGTTAGAATGAACTTACAAAGTTACGAGGTTTCGCAATTGACCAATGTAAAGTGGGATTTGGCCAGTAATTCGGCAGTTTCTCAGTACCCCGTGCAACAAAAATAAAGAAATAACTCGGTAAAGGTGACTGAAACACAAATTGATGACATAGTTGCATTCTTCCCATGAATTGCATTCTTATTCAACTTACAGAACTCTCAATTTTTTCATCCCCTCCAGATCAGGGATTGTCATAGTTGATCCATTCAAATCTGATATTCTCCTGAAAATTAAGATGCATCAATCAGATCAGATTTCTTCATGTTTCTACATCCTCAGATCCATAAGCATCATAAATCCGGTAACTTCTTTTTGGTTGAAATGAATTTACTAAATATGAAAAAGTAGTTACTAATGTAAATAAGTCCTCACAACTCAGCTATGTCTTTCAGCTGGGATATGGTAGAAGGAATGGGGCCATCCATGGATGTGCCTTGCATGTGCCTGAAACCGATTATCAAACAATTATTTGAGATGTTCATAGGTAAAATTAAAATTTAAGAGAAAGCTTGTTAGAATTCCACAGGTGGGGAAAAGATTGCTGATGAATGGAGCTGCTAATGATACTCACAGTAAATCAATTTTTGTCCAGTTCCCAATCAGATCAGGTATCTTCCCAGATAGTACACTCCCATCTATCCTACTGCAATCATTTGAAGAAGTTTTAGAATTACTAAAATTTAAGACTAATAATTGTCAAAACAATTACCACTTACAAATCTGTCAAGTTCTTCAAGTTGCTGAATGTGTATGGAATTGTTCCCATAAAATTGTTAGCAGAAAGAATGCTGCAGCAAACCATTCACTATGAATTCCAACAATATGAAAAAGATAGGACCAGTAGTGGCAATGATGACTGCGCCTTGACATAGCATTTTTGTCACAATCAACATTACAGGGACATCTAAAAGAGAATGTTCAATTTATGGAAGAGGGTTTTGACAACGCAGCCTCAGATAAAGCATGCCACACACATTGATAGGCACAATGGTTGAATGCTAGACAAGGCAAGAAATGCAACAACAGGAAAACCTTTACATAATTTATAGTCATAAAAAAATAAAAAAATAAAAAGAAAAAAAGAGATCATAAATTCAACCAGACAAATGAAAATTTCAAAATTAAAGAAAGAAAGAAAACCACTAAAGAAACTTCACATAAGGTTTAATTTAAACCATAGAAGAAAATAAGATGGAACAGTGTTGGCACAAGATTAAGAACAGATTCAAATAAGGGCCATAAAATATTATAATGAGAATGGAAATTAAATTTCATAATCATCAAAGTATCAGTAAAACACGAAAGGACGAGAAATAATACTCATGACAACAACATAGCATACTTGCAATTAGATTGCAAGCTTATCTCCCATAGATCGATCACCATGATCTTTGGTAATTATATAATTATCAAAATAGTCTTAAAAATTCATTTGGTAATTACATAAGGACATTAGAAACAAGCCCTTAAGGCGTATCTTCTAATCTAGACTTGAGTCCTCAATGATATTTTCACCTTTTCTGGATTTTGTCAAACAATGAAGGCATATTTTCAAATATAGACTTAATTCCTCAACGATATTTGAAGACCACAGCCGGACTACATCATGCATACAAAATCCTTCCTGATCATACAGCTGTTTCTTAACAAATTATTACTCTATCTACAACAAGAAAAGCATTTTAGATAAGAAACTTTGGCAGTGATAGCACCACAACGTAATCCAATATATTCAAGTGCATACTTCAAAAGAAAGAAACAGTAAATTTTAAACAAACAGAAAAAAAGGGATAAGCAGTCTTACAGCCTCCTCAAGCGGCTCAAATTTCCAAGCTTTTCAGGAAGAGTTCCATTAAGCTGATTTTGTTGCAACACCCTGGAAATATAGTCTGTTTTAAAACCAAGGCCATGATTAATCTCTTGGTGCAGTAGACAGCACAGTATTGATGACTTACAAGTCCGTAAGAGTAGCAATGTCTCCGATTTCCTCAGGAATCTCACCATTAATGCGGTTTCCCACAAGAGCCCTGTAGTGTAGCAACAGTTGAAGTCCAGCCAAACGGTCTAACTAACTGATAATACATATCCAAAAGCATGCAACTAGAAACTTACAGAATGGTGAGAGATGAGACCTTGGCAAAAGCTTTTGGAATTGATCCACTGATATAGTTGCGTGAGAGGTCGCTGTGTTGATAAATAAATCTTTCTTAGTTTCAAAATGGTCATTGCATTAAAAGATATCTATTTTCCATATTGGTTAGTTTCAACAGGGATGTTAAAGGGACCATATAAATGGTAAAAATAGAAAGATGACAAAAAGGTTGCAGATGATTGTATTGTATTTAAACATCTGTAGAAGAGCCTCTTTCTACTTTATGGGCTTGGTTTCTCAGCTCAGAATGCCAAATAAATTTGCTAGCTGGTATGAATTTATGGATGCAGTGCACATTGGACGTGTGATGGAAATTTTAGCAAGCAAATCAGCCTTATAAAGGTAATAAAATATTAAACTTAGTAGCATGACAATACCATCTCAATCACCATAATGATCCCAACATTCCCTTAGTTTCACAGTTGCTAAGAAAAACCAAATAGACTTGCATAGATGTGAATGTAATGAAAAACATAATTAATTTCTTCCTAGTCATGTGCAGCAGATGTGTACTTTTATTTCCTTGGGACATCCAAGCTCCACATAAGGGTTTAGCCTTCGTGATCTGGTAAAGTAAATCCATTTATATAAACAATGAGCACAGTGAACTAGGGGTGGCTAAACCTCGGGCTGGGCCGGGTTTGCACTACGTATTAAGAAAATATGTGTCATCCCAAGCCCGACCTAACCTGACATCGAGCCTAATGCCCGGCCTTAAAAAATATTCAAATCCCAAGGCAGCTCATTTAACCCAATAGATATAATGAATTAATCTTTTATTTTTATTTTTTTCTTCAATGAATATTAAATTATTTAGTCTTTTATTTATTATTTGAATTTGGAATGTAACAAAATTCAACGATAAAATAAATATAATTTTTAACAAATGTTTTAATTTAAGTCCTAGAAAGAAGTATATATGCTCTTTTTTTTTGTCTTTTATATTTTTCCTAT